ACTTGGCAGCTGAGTGGTCACATAGATGTCATTACTCTTTGACAATGACAATAGTTGAGCAGAAACTGGTGTAGGAGTAGGTATCTATTTTAACAATAAGGCTGAGTATGTGCTTGATACCTTTCCTTCTGCTTCCCCAAGAGAGCCTTTTCTGACTCCTTTGTTGCACCATGATTTTTTCCTTAACAAAGTTGACAAGTTTTATATAAACTTCTTTTAGTCTTTAAAAAGACAAATTGGACCAGACTGAAACATACCGCTGTGCCTCTTGCTACGATCTTCCTGGATGTCTTTACCTCTCTGCGCTCTTGTCTGACTAAGTGCAGCTATACTAGCATAGTTATCTATTAACTATTAGCTGACAATGACAAGCAGGGAAGGATTTTTTAATTATTTATTTATTTATTTATTTTTACAACTGGTGCTTTAGGAAAAGTAGCAATAAAATATTGAAAACACAAAATGATTTGCATTAGGTCTCAGTCATCAAAGCTTTCATTACTGAAGTGTTAAACGAGTTATTAAAAGTTTTGTCTTTAGCAAATGTGGTTCGGGGTGATTAGCAAGATAAAACTCATGCGCAGATGATAAATGAGAGTTCTTGTTTACGTGCTAATGCTAGCTAGGTTTCCCACAAAACGCAAATGGTAACTGATCTCAAGGCACTGAGAGCAGAGCCAGCAATGGCGTTCCTCACGTGCTTGTCCCCCGTCATTCTCTCATCAAAGACCAGAGGTTTATTCACAATGTTTAAAAGACCTACATGTAGAGTGGTGAATTGTTCTTTAATGTCAGTCAGGGACACTGGATGGGAAGGCATGTTCACTTGAAATAGGTGAAACATATCCAAGGCTGTCAATGAGCAGGACAATTGATATCTACTTCAACTATATATTATATAAAAATTCAATTAATTTTTTTATAGTGCCAAATCACAACAGAAGTCACTTAAAGGTGCATTATATTGTAAGGTAAAGACCCTACAGCAATACATAAAAAATCCCACCAATCAAACAATCCCCTATGAGCAAGCACTTGGCAACAATGGAAAGGAGAAACTTCAACTCAACAGGAAGAAACCCCCTACAGAAGCAGGCTGCCATCTGTTGTGACACTGTGGAAGAGATCCAGATTAATAATAACTAAAGATTAAATACAGAGTGGTGCATCAATACTTAGAGAGTGTAAAGAGGGGAATGAAGAAGAAACACTCAGAGCATCATGGGAAGCCCCCAGCAGCCTAGGCCTGTTGCAACACAACTAAGAAAGGGTTCAGGTACTCTTGATCCAGCACTAACTATAAGATTTATCAAAAGGGAAAGTTTTAAGCCTAATCTTATAGGAGAGTGTCCTGTTTTCTGAATGCAAACTGGGAGCTGGTTCAACGGAACACCAGAGCTGAAGGCTTTGCCTCCCAACTCTAGTAACCAGTAGCACTGTGAGCCTGCAGTCTAAAGTAAAGAGCTCTGTTAGGATAACAAGGAACGATGAAGTCTTTAAGATAACATGGGCCTGATCAGACAAGATCTTGTATGAGAGGTGAAACCTTTTAAATTTGACTTTGGATTTTCCTTTCTTTTTTTAGTCCTCATCAGAACTCTTGCTGCAGCATATTCAATCAACTGAAGGCCTTCCAGGGAACTTTTAGGACGGCTAGATCACTCCGACATGGGGTGTTTCTAAAGAACATCATTTGGATGTCTGAATTTGGGAATTTCAGACTTATAAGAGATACAGTGGGAAATAAAATTCCATAGGGTGTCTCAGCATATCAGAGGAGTGTGTCTGACTGAAAACTGAAAAATCTCTTACTGACATTCTGATGTCAGTGTCATGTAATAAGACCTGAGATAAAGGTCGTATGGATGTCTGTGTTATCTTGAATATAAGATGAACTGCAAGAGGCAACCGTATCTACATCAGACAGTGCGATGTAATTTTTAAGGTCATGACTTATGGAAACACATATTGCTGCTGAGTTTTGGATTTTTTTATTTTTCAAGCTCTGGAGTTTCCACTTGTAAATTTCTGACCCCAGAAAATGAATGCAGCATAAGTAATGTGGTGCCAGTACTGAACACTTTTCAAGGGCATTTTAGATTCCTAGCTTCAACAAATATCACTTGGACAGTAAATGGTGTATTCCAATGTCTGAGGGGTCCTCGGGGTCATATTTGGTATGCCTTAAAAAAAAAAAATCACAAAATGCAAAACCTTGCCAGGGCTGTGCCAATCTCTCTGCCCCTGAGCACATTCGTAATCACGTAAGCAATCCCCCCCTACTCAGTACCACCAGCATCACCGCACTCCTACTTCACTGAACACCCAGTAAAAGTGATCATTTCAGTTGAATCTAAAGCATGAATTCAGCTGTTAGAGGACAAAAGGTTGCCTTATTCAGATGTTTTATTCAAAATGACATCATCTGAATAGCTCCTATTATCAAAAGGCAGTCTTCAGAAATATTCAAAATAATACTCGGGTGATATGTAGACCTTTGTCAAAGTTTCCGAACAATGGCTTTTGTTCAGCAAGAGTTGTAGCTCAATATCTCCCCACTCCTGTCAATTATTGGCTGCTAAACAAGCATCCTACAGTAGTGGGACCATTAGAAAGGTAGCGGAGTAAATTCTGCCACTCTTCTCATTTATCTTCTTTTCACGATGACAGTGCCATTATACACTTGTTCGTGAGAGAGAAGTTTTTCCTACTATTTTCTGGGCTCCATTAAGCTTCTCTATGCTCTTCTCTTTGAGTCCTTTGCTGGATTAAATATGAAGGACAGACAGAGCGGGGTGGGAAAAAAAAGACAAGGACAGGAGAAAGCTGGAAAAGGGTGCTGAATTAATTTGTGGAGAGCAATTTTATAACCAATTAAAAAGGATTTTTTTTATGTCCTAAACGATGTCTTCAAAAATTCCAATTTTGATGAATTTCAGTGAAGTTTTACTTTACTTTGATGCACAAAAATGGTCTTAATTAAACATACTGAAGATATTTCCAGCGAGCAAAAAACGTGTTAACTCTTTACCCTCCTGCAGGTAACCTTTGTTTGTCTTTTCTGATCTGAGCAGTGTCTAACATATTTTGGCATGCTTCCAGAACAAAATGACAAAACAAAACAGATGTGCATTAAAGGTCTGTGAGGGCGATCCCTACCTGTACCCTTGGAAAAACCATTAGAACCATGGAAAAACATCAAACTACATCTTTACTGATTCATTCTGAGGTGTCCAAACGGGTGTATGTGATATCCTCGTGTTGGTGTTGTACGTGCATCATCATCATAATGTTGGTCCAGGATTAACATTGCAACCGACCAATCATCGAATGTCATAGCTTTGCAATGTGGCAGGAAAAATTTAAATATGCCCTTTTTATATATAAAACTCTTTACTGGTAAGCATTTCAAGTGTCTTCTTTATTAATTTATAGCATATAATAAATGCATTGTCAAGTTAGCTTTGCTGTTAGTCAAACATAGGTTACTCATATCGGGTTGCTAGCAACAGTTTTTAGTAGCATTAACTGATCTTCATGGTTAATGATAACTGAATCCTCAGACAACATCATTGGTTAGTTGCCATGCTGATCCTTGACCAACATGATTTTGACAATGTAGAAACAACAAAAACATGGAGATATTAGATTGTGTGTCATAACTCATCATTAAGGGTATAGGGTTTTAGGCTAAAAAGGTTACGACTGACCAACCAGATTTGGCCCAGAGACAATGATAAGTGGAACGGTACCTATATAGGACTTTCAGTACAAGTCTCATTTGCCCAGTCAAACACATTATTCTGTGCCAAAGTGCTTTACCATACATTCATATTTCAATGAATAGATTAAGGACAACCTGGGGTTTAATATGTTGTCCAAAGACACTTCAACATACAGGCTGGATATATCTGTATCCTGAGCCCCAATCCCTATGTCTGTAGATATGTGGTAGGTCTTTACAGCCTTAGATGCTTTAGATCTCTTTTTCCTCTTTTTTGGGGAGGTGTTTTCATTCACTGACCCGTAGCTGTTTTTGTTAGTGCTTCACCTACATTCTGTCACATCATGCACAATTCTGCTTTTGTTTAATATCTAGTGAGTGTCACTGCTGCTCTGATGAAGTTCAGAAAAAAGTATACCGTCTAATGTTCAGATTCTTTTTCCATCCTTTGTTTTGATGACAGAGATGAAGTTAAGAGCTCAGCATGATGTAGCCTCCAGCTAGACATCAGACTTTTTTAATTACATATGAGCCAGTGTGCTGCTCGGGATCCTCAGGGATGAAGATCGGTAGTTTGTGAGTGGATATAAGTGTAACTAAAAAATAGCAGGGTCACCTTACAGTATTATAAAACTTGAAGAGGATTTTAGAACTGCAAAAATGAGCAAAGGTTTCTTTCTTTTGAGAGCAATGAAAATACTCTACAGCAATCATGCCACACAGTGCAGGCTAGCTTCCAAAGCTTCCCTTTTATTATTTTTGCAATAGTTTCCACAAGTACTTACATTGTGTGTCGGTCTCTATTGACTGGTATTATCAATTTAACCACAATTTCCACAATGTTGTTCATTTAACAGTAAGTTAAATCCCCAAAAGAATGTCATGGATTTAGTTATTGTGCAGCTTGTTTAGTCTTTTTTGCATTTCTACACTTTGGGAAGCAGTAATAAGCAGAAAGAGCAAGCTTTTAGAAGTTTCTGGTTATAATATAAATTTTCTTTGACATCACAGTAACGTTTAAAATGTAGAAGTTTTCAGCCACATTCTGAAGTTGTAGATGGATCTTTATTCTGTGGTTTCCAAAAGAATTTGTTGACATTTTCTCACAATATACATCATTTTTCTGCATAAGTATTGACACGCAAAGTTTAAATTTATTGTGTGTTATTCGATTTGACAGCATTATTACTTCATGATAGTATCTTTTCTGACTTTCTTATATTATTTGTACTTTTTTGCCAGTTGTTTCCACATTCCATTTTCCCTTCCTCAACAGGTGACTACGTGTTAATGACCGTTTACTTCGACCTCAGCAGGAGGATGGGCTACTTCACCATCCAGACCTACATCCCCTGCATCCTGACTGTGGTTCTCTCCTGGGTCTCCTTCTGGATCAAGAGTGATGCCACGCCTGCAAGGACGGCTTTAGGTAAGCTACACAATTTCTCTGCAATCTGAGTTAGGTAGCAATACCAAGGATCTATTTTTGAATGAAATACCAACTCCATTGCCACTTCATCTATGTCACTGCAGTTGTTACCTGTAAAATCTTTCAAATTACCGGAATATATTCACCTAGCATTCGTTTGGAGTCAAAACTGTTGAGTACGTGTGCATGGGCATAATATATTAGTCATTTGCAAATGAATATGTACGTGACAGTGGGAATTTAGAGGTGCATTAAACCATCATGAAAATTCATGTCCCATCAGCTTGCTTGTTTCCGTTTTGTACTTTGTTGTAGTGTTATTCTTTCTCCTTGCATGACTTGACAACTGTTTTGAATTATTTTCCTCTCTGCTGCATGCCTATCATTAGTTCATTTGCTTTCCTGTGGATGATGATGTTGTGCAAGGTGCTGCTGATTTAAGATGGAACTCGAGGTAAGTGTTTGATGAGTTCATGACCACCCCATCCATTCATAGCTTCATAATTTTATTTAGTTAGGACTTCTATTTCCCCCCTGTGGGTGCCTCATTACAAGCTCATGCTGCGCGGACAAACAATGTTCATATTCACTGAGCTTTGATTAAATTCTCTTTGAGGTCCTGACTTTTTAAAGAGATAGCAAAAGCTGAATTTTGGGGACATAGAAATGTATTTAAACTGTCCGTGACATCTCGTACTGGCTTAAAAATAATGATTGTGGCGTCTGAATGCTGATCACAGTATAAACACCTAAAATGTTGATGTAGAGTAGGGAACAATTTGATATTAGGTGCATACTAGATGATATATGGCACACAGATAAGCATACAGAGATAACTGGTTAAAGCAGACACCAGCAACAAACAAATACATTACATGTATTATATTTTCTCACTGAAAATCCAATTAAGCGCCAGTGCCCCCTGTACCAAATTAACTGGTTAACACTTTGAAGTCCAACTCATCTTTGCAGCTGACCCTCTAACCCTAAGTTAGAATATGTCACTTAGTAAAAATTGTAATTAACTTGTTTCCCCACAAGTTCTGGCATTGGTTTTGGCATGGAATATAGTAAATAATGATTCCACTGACACACATCAAACACTTTGCCTTAATATGGCATCAGGGTTAGGAATTATTATCTATGGTGATTTAGTCCTCGGGGGTTTAGGCATAGGGTTGAGGAGCTAGGGCAGGGGTCAGCAACCTTTAACACCCAAAGAGCCACTTGGACACAGTTTCCACGCAAAAAAAAAACACTGGGAGCCACAAATACTTTTTGACATCTAAAATGAAGATAACGCTGTATATATTGTTTTTTTTACCTTTGTGCTTTGTGTGAACAACTAAAGTAAGTAAGTAAAGTTTATTTATTAAGCGCTTTTCACAGACAGGCAGTCACAAAGCGCTGTACACAAATATTAAAATAAACCATACAATCAATAGAATTATACACAATGTAAAAGATCAAATGTAAATAATGTAAAGAATATAAAATACGTAGATCAACAAAAGGCTTGTTTGAACAGAAACGTTTTTAACTGCTTTTTAAAAGAATCCACAGAGCAACTAAGGTGTGTTGCTTATGAAATCCATGAAGTGCTACAGAGAAAATTACATTTTATTTATGTAATTAACACATTTTGAACTCTTAAAGAAGTATAACAAAAGGAAAGACACCCAGCTGAACTAAAATGAACCATGTAGCAAACAAAAACTGTTGTGAGCCGCCACCCTTATATCACCTTTGGGCTTTTGGAGCCTTGGCCTGGCTTTTAAAAAGTAATTGGAAAAAATTGCACTATTCTGCTGAAAAAGGAAAAATAGATATTTACAAAATTCTGCCTAAATATGTATTTTACCTGGTTAATGTGTGTGGCGGGGCGTGGTCTGCAGTGCCGCAGCATGGGAGTCGGATGCACCTGAGCAGCATCCACAATCACTCCTCGCTGGCTTAAAGTCTGTGCTCTCTCTGCTGTTGAGTTGGTGTGTGTCGGGCTGTGAGCTGAAAAGCTACAGCCGGCTGTATGCGTACAGCAACCGTTTACGAAAAGTGGTCAATAAAGAGATGCTGAAAAGCATTTTCATCTAAACATCGTCGGGTCTGCCGTGATATGTTTACAATGAGACTTCTGGTCCCGAACCTCTGCGCACAGCGTCTGTAAATCGGGGCTTTCATCTTTATGCAAGACTGTAAACTGTCATCTGTGAGGCGTGAGCGGTGTTTGTTTGTAACATAGTTCACGGTGGAGAACAGCTGCTGACATACAGTAATGTGGATCCGAAGAGCCATAATTGGCCTAACTGGGGTTGAAAGTCTCGATAAATACACGGCGTTTCGGCGGGTACACCGGCTTCCGCGAGTGTGATGCTTATTTTGAGCGATGAAAAAAATAATAAGATATAATTTTATTTTTATATTTCAAAATCACAATAATCTTCCAATTTAGAACTGCAAGTTAAAAAAAAAAGAACTAAACACAAATAAAATGCACTTCAGCTAAATACTTCTAATTTATTTTCCCAAACCACCCGGAGCCGCAAAATAAAGACTAAAGAGCCGCATGCGGCTCCAGAGCCGCGGGTTGCCGACCCCTGAGCTAGGGTCACATTTATCCTGTTGTATAGAATTTTTACCTATGACCTTAAAGGAAATCTTTTAACAGAAATCCAAATGCATAAGCAATACATAAATGGAATTATAAAAGGTAACATCTTCTAGTTTCTGCTACTTTATTTGTTTAGCACATAGCTTCAGTGCAACATGTCCTTAGCACTTTCCTCATTAGCCCTTAAATCTTGATGCCAATGATAATATAGTCTTTCAAAAAGGGATAATGGAAATGTCATGAGATTCAGTTTTATTTAAAAAAGAGAAAAAACGTCATTATTATAAGGTTACATGAAAGTCATCCTGGTATTCATGGGGAACAATTCACTTCCAATCTAGTTGACATCTGTTGAAAATAAAGCCTTTTGTTACGTGATTTACTTTGGTTGGTCACTCAAATTATCCCAAATTTCCCCAGGTAAGACCCCCAAATATCTAAATCATACTGTTATCTCCACTGCAGCAGCTGGCTTCAAATGCCTTGCTTTATGGCACTTTGGTGACACTTGATGGTAGCTAGACTCTAATTAACCTCTTTCACACAAATGTTCTCGCTTGACCCAAGAACTACACTTAAGATTATTTCTCCAACCTCTAGCCACCTTCACCCCAGCTGTCACTTGGGTTGAGACAATCCACGCCACTCTGAAGTTCTTTAATTCCTCTCAGTCCCTCCTGCCCTTCATCAGCCTGCCAATATTACAGAAGGTCATCTGGATGGTCTCTGCGTTAATATCTAAGTTTTACTGGAGTTTTGTCCCGCCCTATTCATTATCAAGCTCAAAGAAAACAATTCTCTGAACAATGAGGCCGCCACCAATAATATAATATCATTGCTTTGGCTTCACTGGGCCAAATGAAAGCTCTTTTCTTGTGCTGTTAATGAAAGCAGATGATGACAAGAGTATGTGTTCGGCCCAGCTTGCTTCTTGCTCGTAGGCTGATGCAAGTTGACACGATGACAGTTTAACATCAAAACAGTGTGAAGAGATCAAGAGAGACACAACAACTCGAAGGTTTATTTTGAGTTTGTTTATAGCACTAAAGGAGTTGCTCCTTCCAAAAGCAAATTCTCTTATCTTCCATAAGCCTCAGATCTATTAAACTGAGATATATTGGACAGGTTTTATTCTATACTAATTCCTCCCCCTTTTTTAACCAGCATATAAAGACTAAAGCTACTATGGTTTTTCTACTTTGCAATGACAGCTGCTTTGTAATGTGAATCACACACCTCACAGTGTATGTGTGCCAGTCTGACTCTCCACTCCTGTGTCAGCCTGCCTTTTTAAGCCTGCATAGGACATAACTAAGTCACTTAATGCTTACAGTGTGTGGGTGGCAGTGTATTACATGACCAAAGGCAGTGACAGACTTGTGATCTCCCTCTCACAACAGGTAGCGCGAAAAAGCAGGCAGCCCCAGTCCTGATAAACATCCAGTTTCGGGTCAACAACAGAAAGTCATTTAGCCTTCCTCCTCTAGTACAACGCCCCCGTTTTAGAGTCAGCCTGAGACCTGATCCCAAAGCTGAAAGGGGAGAGGAGAGATAAGCGCAGGAAAAGCTGGACACAAGGGAGGAACAGAAAAAAAGTGTAAAGCAAAGTGATGGCCTTTGGTACTTAAAGGCAGGGAGAAATGTCAGCTGGACGGAGTGGGATCAAGTCGGATTGAAGAGAAACTCGAGTCCAAGAAAAATACAGAGGATGCCACTGCCCCTGCTGACCCTCCACCCAACCGCTAAAGGGAAAGTGCCTCGACAAACCGTTAACATGTTCCAGGTGGATTTTCCAAAGAGCTCTCAGTCATACATTACTGCTTCAGCAGGATATGTGGACACCAGCGAGCTAAAAGTAAGTGAGCTGAGCTCAGGCTGATTCCCATTAGACCTCAATCTTTGTAGCGCAAATGGATCTTGACATAGATACAGGGGGTTGGTGATGGGAAATAAAACCACCCCAAGGCAGAAGCTGAGACTGTAGAGCTTTGGGGGTGTGAAGAAGAACCATGGTGCTGGAATTAATTGAATCTACTGGTAACATCCATCATCATGCTTCATAGCATTATCCAGAGAAATACAGAGTATCACTTAGTGTCACCAGTTTACTTCAAGGAGATCCACAGAGAACAGAGTCTTCCCCAAACTCTACCATTTTTGCTTTTAATTGTATGTACGTAGGTTTTAAGATTTCTGCCATTAACCCATCTTATAGGGGGCAGCTCAGTGAAAAGAAGTATTTAAAAGCAAAAGAAATAATAGCCCGAATTGTAAGGTACTTTTGAAGAGACGCTTCACCACCAAGTCTCAGAAAGAATTTGCAACATTTTTGTAGAACACACAAGACCCGTGTCTCCAGAGGAAACTGTGCAAAACCTAATAAATTGCCTTA